TAAGCTTAGTCTCATCCACAACATCTAAAAATTTTAACGGATTCCCTGGTTCATGTACATATGCTAGTTGATCTGTAACGTCATTACCAATGAGAGCATGTTCCACCTGATTACCAGGATTTTTCTAACTGGGGTAAAATTACCACCCAAAAAAGTTTCAAGTAAAATTTGTTTTTTTTTTAGGTTAGGGTTAGGATTTTACTATTAGATCGATGTCTAAGGACATTTCTTGTAGCAAAATTTTACAAGAAAAACTTTTAATTAATGCGCAGTAGGCAGTTATATAGACTAAATTTTGGATTATAAGCAATTTTTGACAAAACGAACGTTTTCTGATCATGTAACGGTACACCTGATCTTGAGATATGATTGGTCATGAAACCTTTTTGGGTGGCGATTTTACTCTGGTTCTCAGAGTACAATTTTGGCCTGAACCCATTTGGTCCAACTATCATTATCATCAATAGTACCTCAAACATTTGATACGCGCAAATTTGCCTTGCAGGTGCCCATAACCCTTGGCTCTTGCTTCAAGCGTTCTCCATCCCCTTCTCCCAAGCATTCTTTTAACATAAAACGGCAAGATTGTTTGTGGCACACCTGTATCGATCATGCATGTATACTTTTTGTTGTTATTATTGATGTCATAAAAATCATACATGAATAGAGTGATTGAATCTTCACTGGGTCTTTTAACACGAACTCAGACCTTTATTTGAAAAATTTACTAAATTAATTTGAAAAACTACATAAAGATATTTTTTACTCTAAGTACTAAATTTCATAAGATAAAATAACCCTCCTAAACTTATAATCAAATATGTGTTCAAACCTTGTAGTCGTCTCCATTGTCAGTACGCTGAACAATCACCATCTTTGCTGGTGGATTACATGACAGACGTGTCTGATCAACTGGGACTTGGACAGTACCAGGCATAGTTTCGAGAATGTAATTCAATTTATCATCATCATACCTCTGCCTATACTCTATTACCCTCTGTTTGTGTATCGTCACCCACTCACTTTCATGTCCAGCAAATTCACTTTTGTCAAGTGCGTTGTAGAAAAATAATAGGTTATACCCAACCTCATTATCGAATTCGAACTCAACATCAGCGATGTTTTCGAAGGCACTCCTTCTAAGATATTCCGGCATCGAGGAGGGCCACCTGAAGTTCTTTCCCATGCAAGCTACAAATAGATTAAGAAAACAAACGTCAAGATATTACTACTATATTATTCAAAACTATGAGCTATTACCAAGAAACTTTTGCGCTTGACCAGGCTTTTTCTCATACGCGAGGAGGGTTTGAAGCATTTCAGGTGGATTGACAGATGTTTGAAAGGTGCCCATTATTTTAAATGAAATAAAAAATCTAACGACGTTAATAGATATTAGTATAACCAGTTTTTGTTTATTTGTTTATTTGTTAAATTTCATACCCAGCAAATGGAATCCAAATAGGCGAAAGTCCAATTATACAAAGAAGAGAGATGAACACAATGGTGAATACTAGAGGAAATATTAGTACCGTAAAGAAAATCATTTTATCATCAAGAATGTAATACAAATTACCCAATCTTTATATACCGATACACT